CTCAAGTTCTAGGCCAACTGGGACCACACAGTGAGACACTGTTTCCAAACCAAACCAAACCAAACCCAAAAGGACACAGGCGGGAGGGGCTTCTCAGTGGTTAAGATAACTAATTGTTTTTACAGAGGACTGAGATTAGATTCTTAGCACCCACTTAGCAGCTCACAACCATCCATAACACTAATAACAGAGTTACACCCTAATTTCTGAGGGCATCTGGCACATGCATGGTGTATAGACAGGCATACTCATGAACAAAACACTCACTTATTTTTGAAAAAAAGTATGCTTCCCCCAGCCTTGAGCAGGCCTGTAAGACTTTGTTTACCACAACAGACCAAGTTATAGGATCTAGGTGGAGTTACCCACCTTGGCTACATGAAACTTAGAAAAAGAACAGCCCCTGGGCTTGTCTTGAGATATCTCCAGCCGTGACCAAGAACGGATTCCACCACACATCTCTGGCTAAAACTAAGAGATTGGGCCTTTCCCTTTAAATTGAGAGTTGAACGTTAAAGCTTTGAGCCTTGATCAGAGAACTTTGGCTTGGCTTCATCTCTTTTCGCCCTCCATCCCACTTTCACCCCCAGCCCCCCTTTCAGGTGAACCAGTTGATCAGTGGCTGCAGGCGGCTACAAAAAAAGAAATCCCAAAAAGACACCAACAATAATAATATTTTAAAGGGATGCGTGCGTGCGTGCGTGCGTGCGTGCGTGCGTGTGTGTGTGTGTGTGTGTGTATTTGGTTCCTGAGGTTCTTTTTCTGTCTGCTATATGTGTTTCCTCACACCTTCCCCCCACTAAACACCTCTAACTACTAAAAATAATGATACTATTTTGAAGGGTGTTTGGGGTATGTGTGCTGTGTACACACATGAAAGGCAGGCATGTGTTGGCCAGAGGCCAATGTCAGGTATCTTCCTAGCTATTTTCCCACTGTATTTGTGTATGCACAGGTAACTGTGAGGAGGAATATACCTGGGTGTTGCCAGATAACTGTGGAGGTGGAGTTTAGACAGAATACTAACATTCTCCCATTTTGGTTTAATTAAAAAAGAATAATTAGAAAGAGGTGATGGCGAAGCAGGAATAGGGTCCTTGTGATATCTGGTTACTTCCTGCTGGCATTGGGGGCAACATGTCTTTAGGGGGAACCTAGAAGAATGGGTATGGAGGATGTTTGTACGGTCCTAGGAGAGTTGGCTGTTTCCTGCTGTCCAGGGTCTATGGAGCGAGCCATCTGAGGACAGGTCAGAAGGAACAGGTCCAGTAGAAGCAGCTGTGTGTGTGACAGGAGATGGAGCATCTGGAGGTTGCTTCTCTGGAGCTGTTCTGGATGTACCTTTACTTATCTGGATGGCATCTATTTGGTCCTTGAGAGGTAGATCTGAGTGGGTTTTCTGTAGCTTATAAGTTTACAAAACAGATAACAGCATGAGTTAACAACACAAGCAGTCTCTAAGATGAACCTTTGCTGGATTGTATAGTGGAATGTTTTATTAGAGTTAGGCAAGTTTATAGGAACTCAGATAATATTAGGACAGAGTCATAGCAAGAAGAGGAAATATGAAGCATTTAATTGATGGCAACTGAGTTTAGGTAATGAGATAACAGATAATCTGTGAAAGCTTAGCTGTCAATGTAGTCAGAAGTCTGAGAAAGAGTAAACAATAATCTACCAGTTATATATTATTTTTAAAAAATGACAGAGTCTACTAGCCAACAGTTCCCATGGTCTCCATAGTCTCTTGGGTGAAGTCAGTTTGGCTTCCAAGCGCAGAAGACGCAGGGCTTTTTTTCTTTGGAATGGATATGCGTGACATGAGAAATGACTTACCTCGGTTTGACTTAGCTAAGTCATTTGACTCAGAGCATCCAGTCTAGCCCACTGCGTTTGTTAGTGACTATATCATCACATACAATCCAGGCTGTATCTTCTAGGTGTCTGCTGCCCAAGTTTTCTGAAACCATCTTGGGCCAACTGTTAGAGGCTTTGGGAATTGTGTCAGCCATACATTTAAATATACTATTAGCAGACTTCTGACAAGATTGAGAGCCATAAGGATTGGTTGTAACTGAATAGAATTTAATAGCAGTAGTAAAAATCTGTTAAGACAGAGCCTTTCCTATCCTGTCTTAAGTAACTTTGGTGGGTTGTCTAGGTAGAGAAAAGCACATTTTTGTATTAGCTAAGAAACATTTGGCTAGGATAAGAATAATTTGGCCAGAATAAGAAAGCTGGATCGTACGACTGGCGGGTTGAAGCTGTGAGTCACAGGTGCTGCGAGTCCGGTCTGCGGGCGGCAGCAACAGGGTGGGACTTCCTACTGGTGGCCGGAAGTCACTGTCCAGAGACTCTGGTGGCTACAGTTTTATAGGTCCTGGGCAGAGAGGGAGAGAGAACCTCCCTCTCGTGCTTGGGCAGCCAAGCCCTTTGCGCCAGTGGTTGCGCACGTGGGGAAGCAAGTCTCAGAGAGGGTCCCTGGTAGGATGCAAGGAGTAGATCCAGAGCAGAGCTAAGAACCACAGAGGTAAAGGGAGCAAGCTGGGTCCCAGACCTGCTGCTTCAGGCAAACTGGGTGAACTAAGGGGGTCCAGTTGGCTGCAAATGACTGAGGAGGCCAAGGGGGAAGGGAGCAAGCAAGGTGCAGGCCCCTGCTGCTTTTCAGGCTAACCGGCTAAACTAGTGGGTATAGCTGGCCGCAAATGATGGAGGAGGAGGAGTCCTAGAATGAAGGTCAGAAAAACACAGGGTTAGCTCCAAGCTCATGAAATCTTTCATGGGACCATGTGGACAGTTACTCTGACCAGTGGGGAATGGGGGACAGGCAGAACACATAGAGGTATTAGAGCGAAGGTAGATGAATGGTTGGATATAAGGAACCTCTTTCCATTTACCAGACTGCTGGCAGTATGTGTTAAGACCCTTTAAAATGATTGTGTCTTGCATGCCATTAGGTGGTCACTTTAATCCATTATCTAGAGGGTACCGAATCCAGACCTTATTGCAAAGGTGTATTAATTTGGAAGGCCTCAACTCAGGCGTTAATCTTAAAGATTTGAGGTTTTTCAGTAGACAACCCAGTGGGGTATCTGTGGGTACGGACAAAGATGATGTGCCCATTGGGTGATCGTGGCTGTTACCAAGTTATCAGTTGGCATCCAGAAAGAAAAACTGGTAATGAAAATCAGGCTCAGGCTAGATAATCAGGTCATCACGAGAATATCTAGGGGCCTCGCAGAGCTCCTGAAGTCCACCAGAAAATAGCCCATGCACGTGATACCAGGATTTCCGGCAGCTGCGAGAGCTTGAGGGGGACTGGGAGCTATTTCTGAGAGGGGAATCACCCAATGGCCAACGTCCTAGGTCGAAGTTCAGCTAAAGGCCAGTCATATGGACTGGGGAAATGTAAAGCCAACCCCTTAGCCCAGGGAAGGCTGACCAGACCCTAACTGGGCGTCCAGGGTTCCTCCCACCAATTGGAAACTCCTTACCAATTAATCTGTTTGTGGGCTTATGCAGTCTGGTATCAGGAAAGGTGGAAGCATGTGGTCTGCATCCCTGTCTTGCTGCCCAGCCCATGTGGCAGAGCACCACATGGGGGCCACAGCGGCACAGCTCACATGGCGGAAGTTTTTCGAGCCACTCAACAGCGGATGTGGTTGTTCTGCAGCAGCAGTGAAATTCACAGTCAGTGATGGCAGGTAGCAGCAGATGAAGTATGTGTGCTGGAGTGGTGTGGCAGCTTTGGAGGTGGGGTTGCGGCAGGCCACATGGTGTCGGTCTTGTATGGTCACAGTAGCCTCACAGCAGCCAGCTGTGGCTGCTGGTGGCCTCATGGGTCTCAAGGATCCCAAAGTCTTCATTCCCGGTCAGCACACCATTGTTAGATTTTTGGCATGAAGCTCAGAACAAACCACACCAGACCAAACAGTTCCAAATGGGAGGCGGTTCATTAGGGCAGAGGGCAAAGGTGGGGAGAGAAACAGTAGAAGATGGCGGGGAGAGAGAGGGAGAGAGAGAAAGAGAGAGAGGGAGAGCAGAGAAGTAGAGGAGTAGAGGCTGGCCATGACCACGTGGAGAGAGGGGGAAGGGAAGTGGGAGGGGTGATGGACAGACAGAACCTACAGGCAAGAAAACAGAGAGCAAGAGAGCAAGAAAGAGAGAAGGAGGCAAACAGCCCCTTTTATAGTCAGGCAAGCCTACCTGGCTGTTGCCAGGTAACTGTGGGGAGGAGCATACCTGTGTGTTGCCAGATAACTGTGGAGGTGGAGTTTAGACAGAATACTAACAGCACCCACCTGGTAGATAACAACTGTCAGTAACCTCAATTCCAAATCAGCTGATACCCTCTTCAGTCCTCCAAGTTCACAATATGTACACAGATGCATACACACAAACACATTAAAAACACAATAACATGTTTTTAAAAAGAAAGTAGATAAATATGAAAATGTCTAGGAGAAAGACCAAATCCACGCTTGCCTAATTAAAGCAAGCTTTATTAAATACTGGCCGGGAAGATGGACACTAGCTCCATCCATACCCAGGGTTCCCAGAGATGGTGTTGAATTTTACTAATCGGTTGTTTATAAAGGCAAACCCCACAGAGCTGTGTACATCCTGCCTTCATCCAATCAGGGGCAAGCACACATTCGGATGTACTTCCTGACTACATACCTGCCACCTATCTGTGATCAAGCACATCCTACTCAGTTAGGGCAAGCACCCTTGTCTACGGAAGTGAAAATAGGTAGCTTGTTATCTTATAAAAACAGCCCTCAGTGATTCAGGAAATTATCTGTCCTGAGCAACTGGGGCTTATGGGTTAAGTTTAGCGCTAAGGAGAACAGAATAAAAAGTTAAAAAGATTGTTAAAGCCTTGTATCATCAAACAAATGATCTGCCTTTTGGTGTCTGATTTCCTACCACAGGCGGCTCTCACCCTGTTCCTTTCTAAGACTCTAACTTCCAGTGTTCCTGTGTGTTTGCATTTTAGAAGTTCCAGCGTGAGTTAAGCACCAAGTAGGTCTTGAATACAGTGAATACTGGGGCCCATGTGCTGCTGGGAAAGATCCTACAGAACCACATGCTGGACCTCCGAATCTCCAACTCCAAACTCTTCTGGAGGGCACTGGCCACGTTGCAGGTCAGAGCGTGATGGGGCCTCCAAACCTAGATGGCCACAGAAAGTGTCTTTGCACAGTTGGGAAGAGGTGTAGGGCCAAGGTCTATTTTTTTCACAGACATATCTTTCTCGGGCATAGTCTCTGATTTGCATGTGTTTTTACACACAGGTACAGTGAGGGGATCCCTGCAGGTGTCATATAGGGAAGCAAACCACGGGAATAGATAAGAATGAAAACCCAGTGTAGACTGGCATTGTCAACCTGGATCAGACTGCAGGGAGTCTAATGCAAGTGGTTCATTGTGGGCATATTTAAAACACCGTACATTTTTAGAAAAAGTTTCCAGGCAACAGTCAGCCCAATGCTAGGTACACAACTAAAGCTTAAGGTGTGACTACATAGGAACTCCTTTACAAAGTACATGTAACCATGAGGGTGGGTTCTATAGCTAAAAGGCTTAGAATCTAGTGTGGTCCCTGACTGAGCATAGAGGTCAGCAGGCCATAAAGAACAGGTGACATCTTCCCTAAGGATGGTAATGGTCTAGGGAGGGAAGAGTCTGGGATAAACATTCTGGGGAATTTGGGTGAGGTCTGTCTCTATAACAAAAGGTGAGGGAGGTCAGCCTCCACAGAGGAGCAAAAGGTCACCAGGTTGATGACAAAATCCACTCTCAGCTTTCTGGATGGAATGCAGGTATTTGATCTTTATCTCCTTCATTGAGGAGATAAAGGCGCATGATTGACATTCCTGGTTCCCTTAGTGCTTTGGGTGAGTACAAGGACCTCTGTGTCCCTTACCAGTCCATGAGTGTGAAACTATAACCTCCAGGTGACATTCTTTAAGTTTCAAGGATGCAACAGAAACCCAACTCTTAGCCGGGCAGTGGAGGTGCATGCCTATAATCTCCAGAGGCAGAGGCAGGCGGATCTCTGAGTTCCAGGACAGCCAGGACTACACAGAGAAGACCTGTCTCAAAACAAAAACAAAAACAAAAACAAAAACAAATAAAGCAAAAAAGAAACCCAACTTGTATTCCTCTAAGCTAAAGTATTAGTTTAACATCCTGGAAATTAGCAATCCCAGTGGGAAGGAGTCTCTCTGTCCCTGGTGACTTGGGGAGAGCCTGGCAGAGGGCTCCTATTGGCTTGTTTTGGGTCCTGTGCACAACCTTGAACCAATCACTGTCCTTAGGGGAAAGGATGCTCTGCCCACCTGCTTTGTGTCAACCCAACTTTGGGGTGGGATGGGAGATGGGCTTGATTTTATCTTACAGCCCCCAGAACGGAGACTAACAGTTATACAAGGGAAAAGAAAGAAGCTAATGCCAGAGAGGGGTGAGAATGTCTGCTGACCAGAGAGCATGGTGGATGGCTTTGAAGTTTGGTTGCTATCCTTGATCATTGACCTATGGGGTTGTTGAACCCAGTTGTAAATCTCACCAATTTTCCATTCATTATGGGCAGCTGATGGGTTACCGCCAACTCCTTTAACCCAGTTTCTCTATATACCTCGTGATTACGGGACAAATTTTCCATAGTGTCTTCAGCCAGTCTTCAGGATTACAGCTCCCACTTTCTCATGTCTTTCCCTTCTCCTGGGACACTATTCTCAGTTCTCCTAGGCATCTACCCTGATGCTGACCTCATTGCTTCTTTCACAGAGGTTCTCTGGACAGTGCAAGGCTCGCTGCATCGAGAGCCTTCTTCAAGTGATCCATTTTCCTCAACCACTGTCGGATGATGTCTGCGCTGCCCCCATCTCCTGCCATGTCCAGGTTGCCCACGAGAAGGAAAAGGTACCTTTCCCCAGCTGGCTGTTCAACAAACACTTTCTGAGCATCTTAAGCACCTTCGGAACTTAGTGTGACACTGTGTTTACAAAGTTTACAAAGCTCCGAGGTAACCTGCCCCATGGAGCTCCCATTTCGAGGGGTGGATGTATGGGGTAGGGACAGGGTGAAGAGGTATGACTGTAACAGAAGGTACAGAGGCAAAAAAGATACCAAGGGGTCTTCTGTTTTGCCTTTGAGGGGCGTCAAGAAAGAGCAAGAGAAGGGCTCTTTGCACAGGAGTTTTCCATCTTCAGGGGCGGCTTTTGACTACTCTTGACCCCATCTCTTTCTAGTCCGGATAACAACCTCCTATACTTGCTTCCAACCTAACCCCTGTACCCAGTTCTTTAGCTCCTCAAGGGTTCTTCCTCAAATGGCAGTTCCTTTTCTTCCATTATCCCTGCTTTTCCTCAGGTGATCCCCACAGCCTTACTGAGCCTTCTACTCTGGTGCTCCATCACTGAGACTAAGGCACTTCTGGCTGCAGCTTCTTCAGTCTGTGAGGTTGTTAGAAGCATCCTCTCTGGGCCGGGTCAGAAGCGCAGCACGCAAACCCTTGGAGACCCTACCGCCTGTGGTGCCCTGAATTGATGTTTCTGAGACCATGGAGGGAGCAGACATGGGCAGAGTCCCCCTCCAGTTCCCAGGGGACTTGTGCCAGCAATACAGTTGTGGGGACAATCTCAGTTTTGGGTGAATGTGGCACTTACTAACAGACCAGAATCGGGAAAGAGTCCTGTTTTCAGCCGGATCATTTCCATTTTTACTGGCCTCTTCTGATCTCAGAAATGGAACTGTCTTGTTTTGGAACCTAACCTTGCAAAAAAAAATCAGTAATCAGACTCACTACACACAAACAAGGGAAGCAGGGGCTTCAGGTGTTCTCGGCTAGAGAGAAGTTGTGTTCCAGATGTCATTCAAGAGAGAAAGACAATGCCAATTAGACAAGATCCTTGGGGACTAGGATGAGTGCCACATCCACTCAGAGACCAGTGTGTAGGAACATTGGCTACAACCTCTCCCTGTGTTTGCAAGAAAGAATATAAGGAATCCTACTCTGGAGGTGCCGGGCACCCTTTGGTGGTAGAAACACTAGAATGTTGTCGGCACTGCTTTAGACTGAAGCTGTCACGGGTTTTGATAAATCAAAGGGACCCGGATTCATCTCAGGTCCAGTTTTCAGGTGCCTGCAGCCAAGGCTCTCACTGTTGAGGTCTGGCTCCCCCTTGTGGCAGAGAACTAGCCAATTAATAGATGGCCCAGGAACTCCCCCATGGAGAGAGTTATGGAAACTTTTAGTGGCTAGAGTTATTTTGAGATATGACGGGGAGGTCAAGAATCAGGGAGAATTATGGAACAAAGGAGGTTAAAGTACGACACATAAAATCTGAGAATGTCTTCAGGCTTACAATGGTTATGCACAGTGAGTAACAGAGACTTAGGGCTTAGTCCGGGGATTCTGGGCTCTAGGAAGAGCTATGGAAGTTCATGTCTGCACTCCCTTCACGTGGGAGGGTGAAGGAGGCGGGCTGTGGGGCAGGATGTGTGTCAGAGGCTACATAGCAAGATTCCTCTCCCTCTCAAAGAACTAGTCAGAGACAAATGGGCTACAGCTTGCCTCTAAATAGCTAGCACTATTTGGAGAAAGCAAACATCTGAGGGGACGAAAACTACTGGAGAACAGGCCATGGTGGTGCTGAAACAGAGGGGGGTGGGGAGTGCGGCTGACCCAGAGACTCTATGACCAAAGAAGGTAACAGGAAATGATCTCTGGGATACCCAGTGGCAGGATCAAAACTGAGGGGACTTAGGGTAAGAGACAATTGGACATTTGAAGTCACGACCATGCTGTCAGTTCAGCCAGTGGCTATTTTTCACATCTTAGGTCAGCTAGCATGGGCCTTGGACATATATGTTAAATAGTCTGTAAGGCCAAAAAAGGCTGTTAAACCAAGTAGGGGATGAAAGTACCAACCTGGCTTCATACATGGGTTCAACAAACACAGCAAAATGCCCAGTGTCCCATGTAAACCCAAGACAGGTTTCTTACACATGGATTAAATCTTAATGTTTCAAGAACAAACTTTGCATACAGAATCTATTATATAACACTCCCCTCGTGGGAGAGAAGAATTGGGTCTCTGTTCAGCTACAGAATTCTGAAGGCTACAGAATGAGAGACATAGAAGATGAGCTCTGTTTATAGGGTGCCCAGACTCCACACTGATCTAAAGTGGAAAATTCTGGTTTCTTTGGAAAGTCAGTTATGTCAAATGATGTTCTCTTGGGGCACACAGGTGAAAGGATGTCTTACTAAAGCAGACAGGTGAAAGAATGTTTTCTTGAAGCAGACACATGAAAGGACCCACGATGAAGGAGTATAAATATGACCCCACAGATGTTGGGGGCCATCGGCCACAGTCGACCGGGTTCACCTGAAAGAGAGGCTGGGAATGGAAGAAAGGACAGGAGGGCGGGAAGAGATGAAGCCAGGACAAAGGTTTCTGATCAAGGCTCAATGCTTTAATGTTCACCTTCTAATTTAAAGGGGATAACCCACCCCCACCCCCAGAGTTCCTTCTTGCTTCAGCCGGCTGGGGCTGAGTGGGGTGAGCAGAAACCATCCTGCTGGAGATGAGAGGAATCAATACTTAATCTGGGGCCAGAGATGTCTCAAGCAAGCTCAGCAGGCAGTCTATTCTTCTCAGCTTGTGTACCAGGCTACAGGCAGCCAGAAAGGTGCCAAGGCCAAAGCAAGCACTGCCTCTGCCAAGGGCAGGCAATGCCTCCAGGCCATACCTCCGGAGTCCTATTGTTTGGTCTATTGTGGTAAACAAGGTCTCCAGGTCTTAGGCATGGTCAAGGCTGGGGGAAGGGCACACACAGACAGTCATCAAGGAGCCCTGAGCATTGTTTTGACGCTCTGCCTTGCTATTCTTCCCTGAGGACATGCATGTATTGGTTTTCCTGTACATAGCATTGTTGAGCTCAGCTTGTGGTAATGCCACAATTGAGAGAAACTCACCAAAAGTTCTTGTGGCTGCTTCTGCAGCCTCTCTCTGGGCCAGTTGGCCGGCCTTGCAGTCTCTCTCTCTCTTTTCTTCTCCTTCTCCTTCTCCTTCTCCTTCTCCTTCTCCTTCTCCTTCTCCTTCTCCTTCTCCTTCTCCTTCTCCTTCTCCTTCTCCTTCTCCTTCTCCTTCTCCTTCT